GGTAATTTACTTAAAACCCGATCTTTAAATGTTACACATCAAACGATTTTGAATCCAGCAGTTATAATTTCCAGTGGTTTCCGGCTTTGCGGCCTGACCTGAGGTTGTGTGCCTCTCTCTCCTTTGACTCATTTGCCTTCATGTTTCACTTTAGCTCATCTGACAACAACACCTGATTAGATGGCCTTCTGTCCTCCATTCCCCACACATCTCTGCTCTGGTGCTGACTGGTGGCAGGTCTGGCCTTGGCACGGTGGGGCTGGCTGCTCTCCAGCACCTCATCATGGAGGCAGCTGTCCTGACGGGGAAGATGAGTTTTGTTCCTCAGGAAACATGTTCAATGGCTTGGACTCAATGTCACAAGTAGGTCAAAGACTCAGTCCCATCTAAAGAATGACACAATGGCACCTTGACAGCCATTTAACTTATCAAAACAAATCCATCGCTGCTGCAGAGATTCAGACCCAGGGCAATTGGCAGTGTTAACAGAGCAGAACTTCACAGTTTTCTTGACTGTCATCTTCGTAGAAGCAAACCACAAGGTTCATTCTGTGATTTCACATTGTTTGCATCATACAGGAAACCTATGTAACCGCAATGCAAAGTGTACACTTCCAAGCATGTTGTCTAGCACATGAAAATAGGCTTTTTTATCAATGCTAGTTTCTCTAAAATGCTATTAAACATTTACTTTGTGCAAGGCTAGGTTGGATTCTAGTAATACTGTATGATGCCAAAATATTAAGAATTGGAGGGCTGTGGTGCTTGCCCTTTCATAAGGGAGAGTTTAAGTGAGATATCAGCTGAAATAGAAGCTCTAGTGTGAAAAATACCACGTTGCTAATCCAGGGAAATAGGATTTCAAAAAAAGGAAAGATTATTGTTAGTGGGAGGCTACATAGAAGAGGTGGTATATGAAACAAATTATAAAGTCACTCTTCCCTAGTGACTATGATTGGAATCAACATCACAGGGATAGGAAAATGATATCCTACATGATGGGAAATTAGATAAGTCAATTAAGTTAATGTACGGTATGTTTGGGACATTGCCGAAGTTGTCAGGAGAACTCAAACTGAAAAGAAGAGAGGGGATAATTTTACAAAGACAGATAAGAACATATTTGGAAGGGACCTGCAGTCCCTGCAGGAACTCTGGCTATGTAGTGGGTTATGCATGGGTCTGTTACCTGCGCTACCAGCTCAGTGGGAGAAAGATGGAACCGTGGGAGAAAGCAGAAACCCCAGGCCTGTCCTATTGTGTTCTATAGGCTACCTCCGAGTCTAAGGCAGTGGGTTTGGTTTTGGGTTTTGGAGATCCTTGGTGGTTTAAGTCCTTGGCTGCTGACCAAACGGCTGGAGGTCCCATCTACTCAGAGTTACCTTGGATAAAAGGACTAATGAGCTCCTTCTGAAAGGTCAGCCACTGAAAAATCCAGAGAACACAAAATATACTTCGGGTGGTCATAGTTTAGAATGGATTGTTTGGGTTTGGGATTTTTAAACTAAAGAAACAGCATGGTTCAGTGAAAGGAGAACCTAGTTATGGGGAAGATTCTCGCCCCCTTGAGAGTTCTGCCACTGCTTACCTAGTTCCGGAGATGTATGGTTCTGTATTTAAAAATCAAAATTTCCACTCAGCAACTTTATAACATTGAGCAATGCCTCCCCCCACCTTCAATGTCCTCATTTGTAAAATGAGAAAATTAGACTAGATTATGTCTCTTGAAATGTAAAATTATTTTCAATTGGATTTGGTTGCTGGAAAGTGGCAATGCTTTCGTGGCAAGGCTCCTTGAAAGGCTGAGGAATTTTAAATCTGATAAAGTGATCAGAAAGTTCTGTTTTTCTTTCCATGGTTAACCATATAGGATTCTAGGGAGACAGATCTAATTCTGCACAGGACTTTTTGAAGAAGAGAAAAATCAAAAGCAAGCCCATATTGTGTGCTTAGGCCTCACATGTAATGGAGATATGAGGATGGTTAGTAGCATTTTGTGAAAAGGAAAGGGAAATAATGAAAGTGGCCAAATCGAGGTACACTCAAAAGGACTTGTAGCTGATTGAATATCAATTCTAAATGTATTAGTTACATTGTTCATCTTGTCAAATCATTGACCGGTTTTGATGATTTTCAATTTGGTATTAATCAGAGAGTCTAGTGAAATATACTGATACATATACAAGGGGGTAAACCCCCCAAACCAAAAAGCTTTCCATTCAGAGGTTCTGAAAAGATGGCATAACAGTGTGCTACAAGAAAGGCCCGGTTTGTGGCAGACGGGGGACTGGTTTTGCCACCATGACAATGCACCTGCTCACGTAGCCATCTGAGTGCACCAGTTGTTGGCAAAAACAACATGCTTCTCTTGCCCCACACACCTCATTTACCTGACCTCTCTTCCTGCGACTTCTTTTTGTTTCTGTGAATGCAGAGGGACATGAAAGGACAGCGATCTGACTATGTAGAAGAGGTGAAGAAAAAAACAAGGGAGGTGCTGACAGCACATCCAAACAGATGAGTTTCAAAAATGTTTCGAAGAATGGAATCACAGATTTGACAAATGTATCAAATGTAATGGAGATTGCTTTGAAGGTGATAAGGTTGTTTTGTAAAAAAAATAAATAAATAAAAATTAATACATAGCTTTGAAAAATATCTGGTTATGGGTGTGTAACCCCTCAGAATTAATCTAATAAATATGCATTGAGAGCCTAATAAGTTGTCCTAGGTACAGGGATACTACAGTAAACAAAACAAACAAGGTTGTAGTTTCTATTCTATGGGGTCTCATAGAATCTACATTCTAGGACTTGGAATGGTGGGGAAGGAAGACAATACATAGAGAAGAAAATAACATCTTTGAAACATTATGGGGAAAATTAACCAGGGTTATTTGTGTGTGTGTGTGTGTGTGTGTGTGTGTGCAAGTGTGCAAGAGTAAAAATTTAGTAGGCTAGGTAAAAGATCCAAGGAGTTAAGATCTGAATGATCAAATACGGAGTAGCAACACACGACTTTCAACCTTAAGTAATGAAGAAACTGTGACTAAAGTACAGAATCAGATAGACTAAGACCATAGAACTGGCATTGATATGGTAGCTTCTGAGTTTAAATTTCACATGGTTTGGTATTTTCAAATTTAAGTGAATTTCCTTGCCGCATCAGGATTTCAATCCAATGGGTGTCAAAAGATTTAAGCAAAGATTTCCTAGCTCAAAGAGCTGATCATTTCCTCCGTCTTTTAAGCAAGATGGAAGCGAATGAAGGTGATACTATTAAATGCATCATAATCATATCTACCAATATGATCCAGAGAGCAAAGTCCAACTAAAATAGTGGGTTTTGTGGGGTTCTGCTGCGACAGTTAAATTCAAAGCAAAAAAATCCAAGACCAGAGCAGTTTCTACCTTCAATGGTGTTGCTTTCCCTTATGTAATACTAGAAAGAAAGAATAAGAGAGAGTTACTGACCTCTTCTTATTTGAAGACGTCTCTAACTATGATTGACACACACTTGTTTGCACTGAGTTTTAAGGACTGAGAAGAGAAGAGTACTGGCTGAGAACTGGAGAAGATATGATGTGCTTATTTTCCTTTGCATAAAAGCTCTGTAGCAGTCTTTTGCTTTTATAACTCCTTGATTTGGTGATTTTTCAATAAAATCTATTTTTTGGACTCAATGGAATATACAATAAGATACTATGGCATTTTAAAACAAACATAAGATGTGAGAAATTAGTGGGTATTTATCATAGGTACCATAATAGGAATTTCTGCACTTTGCCCCCATTAAGTTACATGTGAATTCAGTCTATCCACTACAGTCACATATTAACCCTGGCTAATCTAAGCCATTCTAATAGCCTCCCCCC